TGAATTTAAAATTTTATACATTGGATATTCAACCGTAAATTAACGAATTTTCATCGAACGATTTTCTTATTTTGTTGTTATTAAAAAAAACGAATATATATTAACATTTTCAAAAGTATAAAGTAACTTTATACTGTAACCAAAAAATCTAAAAAATAAACAGTTTTTTTATAGAATTGATATTTTAAGTTGAAATTTGAACGAAATTAGATATTGAAATAACTAAATAACGATTTAAGTTATTTTTTTTTGGACTAAAAAATATTACATGTGATTACTTGAAACTTTTAAAGCGTGTTATCATATTATTGCTTACACACAAAGCTTTTGAACAACATTTTGACCAAAACATGGGCGTTTATTAATGATAAATAGGTAAAATAGAAACCAATAGTCATTTAATTATTTAACAAAAAGTCAAAAACATGTATTTGTAATTAATACAACTCAATGTAGCTAATTTACTTTTTATATAAACATACAATCATCCAATCTACAGCAATATTTTGAACTTATTTTTTTAAGCTTTGAACTGTAAAAATGTTTGAAATGATTGTACAAAATGTCAAAATGAGATAAAATATTAAATGAATAATTTAAATTATAGTATTATCACGTACATCGTGCATACCCTTAAACGATTAATATTTATATTAGAGATATAGTTTTACCTACCTATTACATATATGTATCTATAGAATATAGATATTTTTAATGTACCTATGCATATTCCTATATGTAATTTTGAAATAATTAGGACAATATTATAAAACATTAAATAAATGTTATAAATCTATTATAATATTATAAAGCTTATCTGTCCTCGAACATATCATATATTTATGGTACATAATTTGTTGGAAAGTATGTACGATTTATTTAATTGAACGTTTTATATCATTGTGGTAATTAAAATAATTATTTAGAATATTTTTGCATACGGTAATATAATTTAATATTAAAAGTTTATATATTATCATGTAGGTAATAGGTACGTAAAATTATACCTCTAATATAAATACTAATCATTTAAATACAAATAATGTGTAGGTACGTACTGTGTATCTATAATAGGTATAATGTATCTGCGTATGATTCGAATCATCACTTTGGAAGTTCTCAGACATTTTTACATCATCGACAGAGTATCAAAACCGTTTCAAAAACTATGGTTGTGTACTTGTGTATGAATGTGTACCTACCTGAGCGGTATATAAACTGTTTGTTAGCGACCACAACAGCAATAATATTGCTCGGCACTACGCGCAGCACAACATAGGCCTAACGAAATTTTTTGTACGGGAGTAAATTAATCGGAGTTTATGTTTGGCCGTTTTCGCGGTTATCACCGGGTTTGTTATTTCAGTATCCGTATCCTGCTGCAACTTCACAAAAACGACCGGATCCATCACATCGAGTTAGGTCCGCAAAATTGTCGACTCCCTTATAGGGACAATCGTGTCATTTGCTCTTCGGGCGCTGAGATCTTAGATGTCACTATGTCAGTGGACTCGAGGGCGGCTGAATAGCTCACACGGCCTCGTCCAAATGTGGTTTAACGTAGTAGAACACGTGGTATACGATCGGCGGCTAGGTTTGACCATGTACGTGGTTACCACCGAGTCCGTTATCTCTGCAGCATCCGTGTCCCGCTGCAAGTACACAAGAACGACCGATACCGCCACATTGAACATTCGGTCTGCTGCGTGTCTTTCAGCTCCGTTGTTGGGATGCAATCGTGTCGGACGGCGATTTGATTTCCGTTTCAGGCGTCGTCGACATAATGTTTCAGGTTTCTTTCATGGAAAAGTATAATTTTGTCTGCCAAGTTTCGGTGTAATGACGAGCACGGCTAGTGCATGTCTCGACCAAATCCATGTGGTTTAACGTATAGTGGAAGGCATGCTTATTTAATACGACAGTACGTTATAATGTCAATTAATTATAATAGCGTTTTTCGTGACAATCTTTAAAAGAATTGTGAGACAAAAGACGAAATGATGATATTTTAACACTAGCTGACCATTCCCATCTTCAACCGTATTACGGGTTACAGTATTAAATCCTAGAAATCTTAATTATATAGGTATAGATAGTACGTGTGTTTCCGTATGATTGGTGTTCTATTCAATGCCATCGGTAGAAATAATGCAGCTTGACCGCACTAAACCGTTTTCACCACGAGTAAAATTTTTATTCGAAATTAATTGCACAACAGAAACCCATCCAAAAGGGATCTATTGATTCCACGTGGAAACTTCCTGCAGTTTTCAAAAAAGGTATATAGGTACATCGATTCCACTGAGCTTTAGAATTATACAAGTGGCAGTAATAATGTTTTACTTGTAGGTATTAAAGTATGATACAAGTTATTTTATATAATTAAAATTAATATAATATTGTAAGATTAAAAATAAAATATTTATCGGAATCAATATACACTCTATAACTAATGTTAACACTTGTGTTCTATATATATAATGAAAAATATTTATCATTAGTTTATTTAATATTATCATAAATAATATAGATATATAGGTAGTGCTGGTCGCTTTTTGATGACATGGAAACACCGTAAGTCTTCTGATCCGATATATTTTAACGGATTACACGGGAATAACTATAGCAATTTAAAACACTAATCGTTATCAGATCCCCTCCTCTTCACCTAACCTTCGTTAGCTTCTACAAAAAATAGTTCACTTGAAAAAACCCTAATGTTCTACTAGGTAATTCTATGCATAATTTATATTTTTCATTAATTTTTCTTAGAATTGTTTAATTAATTTAAAAACTAATTGACTACCTACTTGTATCTTTAATTTTTCCATTTACTTATCCTATTTTAATATTTGTATATTTAAAATTTTCATTTATTTTGTTAACACGGCGAGTAATGTTATTTTCATTTTTGATAATGATGAAAATAATGTTTCGCATTAAATGTTAAAGTATTCATAATACTTAATAGCGTTGTACATCGGAAACATAAAGTGCTCGTTGTAATATTGTTAAAAATAATTATGAATCGGTGTACAGCATAAAGTTAAAAAAAAAAACGTATATCCGAGTGATATATATATATATATAACACAGTCGGACACACAAGTCGAACCCTGCAACATTGTTGGAACTCTGCCAGTTTCCTATAGAGGATTCGCCTTTTCGGCTTCTTTTATAGCTCGTCGCGACTACACCTCGACAGTCCGATCTCCGTCACACCTAGTTGACTCGATCCTCCCTGTCCGACTCAGGAGAATCTTATCCTCCCGTCCCGTATCCGCGGTCCGAGATGAAAACGAGTACCTACGACCGTCGTCATCTTTCTTACACCAAAACTGGGACTGTTAAAATATTCTCTAAAGTGTGTTTATGCAGCCCAGTCGTCCGCGTTCATCGACGTCAGTTAACAAACGTACGTGATGTGCATAATAGCCATAGGTACCCATATTATTGGATTTCCGAACACGAAAACTGTCTCAATGCCAAAATCGAAAAATACTACGTCTTATGCTCTTATATACAATAATAATTAGGTTATACACGCCGCCACTGTTGTGCGGCACTTAAAACACGAACTGTGAGCGTCTAGGAAATTTAAACAACAAGCGCAAATCGCAATAAAACGACTTTACTGGCTTGGTTCCAGGACACTGCATTGGATCGCTGTACACATTGTTATTCATTCGATGTACTTTGGCCGTCGGCATTTTTTTTTTTATAATATATAGCAGTGCCATCTATTATAGTACCTAGATAGGTATACCGAACAATTGTTTCAATCAAATTTACCGGTAGGTGCAGAGATAGAAAAATACTACTAGGTATGAAATATTTTGAGTTTTTACACCGGCGATGCGATAGCAAACGGTTTATTTCAGCTCCACGGAAACCAACTTATTGGTCTTTGTGGGAGGCCGTAAGTTCCCGGGTCCGGATAAACGTAGAAAGACGTATGAGGTCGGGAAAAAAATTATCTTTCCCTGTCCACCAAACAGTATATTTGGAATCAAAATTGACGCGCTCCATTTTATAGCAGCAAAAGTAAAATCGTGCGAAGTGAGTTTGTCGATGAATATACATTGTACTTTTTAAGAAATAATGAGAGAAAAAATGTGGCTTACACATTATCAATTCTCCATTAAAAATAAATCACATAGGTGTTTTTTGAAAAACAAAACTATTTCTTTATTTTCCGGAGAACATAATAATACGAACAACAATTTTCGATCATCTGTTGACTTAAAGACGTCAATACGTCTACAGTCAACCGTTAAACATATAAGGTACGCAGACGTCGGTTCGAATACTATTGATAGGTTCAGAATCAGAAGTAGCTTGCCTCGAGGGTCAAGTATAATATATCCTTATTGACGAACAAAAGAAGGACATCTCGGACAGCCTACACGAAGCATTATAAATTGAGAACGATGATCTGGGCAACACCAAAGAATAAAAAAATTTAAATATAAATGATTGATAATAATATTGTAATATTATAATATATTATGAACGAACTAATGGTTAATTATAGTGACCCCAATATTAGGTAATGTAATAATTCACAACAAGTCAATCTCGTTGTATAATATTGTTGTGGCTTTAAAAATAATAATAACAATAATAAATAAATAATAGTATTGACGATCGTTTCGTAATATGGATACAATTTGTAACCGCGAAACTATCGTCTTGTACGAATCAATGATGATAATATATTATACACGAACAATAATATTATAATTGCAAACGCGGGTGTTTCGGTATTATTTCCATCGGCTATAAACTCGCCGCCATGATCATAGTAATGTTATAATATAATATGATGTATTATTATTTATTATTATTATATATGATTGTATAAACGCGCGCTATTATATCGTATTGTCACACGAAACACATTCGCATAATATGCACTATTATAATAGTGGTGTACTACAATAATATTATTGTCAATAGTACCTATTATTATTATTGTGTACAATTTCACTTTCGCATACCTGAGCGTGTAATAATGAAAAAGTATATCCTCTCCGGGACACGTGTCGTCTGCATCTCTCCTGTACACGCAGTCGCTGCGGCCGGTGTTATTACTGTTTCTGACGCCCATGTTTAGTGCATTCTGAATCAGTCCTCTTCCTCTACCGACCAACGAACCTAGAAATGATTTTGAAAAAAAAACGTCTATTCAAGCAATATTTACAACCACACACGCACCTCTCGAAATGGTCAATATAAAACAAAGACGTGGGTATAATAATAATTTATAAAATAGGTACATCGTCGGTGGCCCACGAATTAACATTTTAAACTTTGACCTATCCTAATAGTATAAGAAAGATAGAACCTATGCAAAATAAAACAGTTTTATAATTGCTCGTAGTTTATAAAATTAAATGTACGTAGGTATAATAATAATAATAATACTAAAATATGTTTATGTCCATTACATCGATTTAGATTTCGAATAATATTATATAGGTCACGGAATATTCAAATAATCCTCATTTTCAAATTTATTTATTTATTATGTATTAGGTTATCGAAATATCATCATGGGTAAATAATATGTAAATAGACATTTATCAGAAAACTTTGTACCACTTAAAAAATTGGGAGCTTGTAAATTGCTCCCACATTAAGCAGGTAATAAAAATACTATAGTAAATTGTGCCAGGAATTTTTCGGGGTCTAAAATGGGTATAGTAAATTGTGCCCATAGTATTTAAGTGACCTTGAATTCATCGTTACCTATTATGTGTATTTTAAATGTACTGTTGTTCATTTATTGGTGGATAAGCCGAACGATTATCGTTATAATCGTTATAATATTAGCGATATCAATGCCTTTAAGCGTATACAACGACTTTACGTATAGGTAATATTTTAGTAACATTGAAACATGGATAATATACATATTATACATACTGGATTTAGCCAGGAAGAAAATAATGTTATATAATCTACCAAACTTATAAATTTTCAAAATTAAAACGTGAGTGGTCTTCGGGTGAAACAAAGTGGCGAATGGAGATGTAGTGTAAAAATGTGTATTGAGTCTCTAAATGATCATCATAAAAATAATATTTCTATTGGGCGCAATTTACTACACAGAAATTTGTATCTGAAAATTCCGGGCGCAATGTACTACATAGAAATTTACACCTGAAAAATACCGGGCGCGATTTACGTTTGCCCAAAAAATCGTAAACGATAACCAACTTATAGAACAATATTATTAGGGGAAACGTATGAATAAATAAGCGAAACCCTTCGAATCTGGAAATGCTGAGTTGGTCTTAAACGAAATCCAGATAATCCGGATATTTTCAAATTTCATTCCTGTTTCCAATCTTTGATACATACAAGATTCGTTTTATTATTCGTGGGCACGGATGCGGATGATAAATGTATAGTAAAAAATATTCACCAACATAGTAATAATATGAATTATGATTAAGCTTAACGTAAACGCAAACGTTTTAGACGACGAACGTCCGGACGACATAAATAATGATCGTTTGAAAAATATGTAATCAAATAATTTTTTCTATTTTATGACGTACCTATGTACAGATCAAAAAGTTCAATTTTTGAGCGAGTCCGCATGATTATTGAATCATAATGCTATATTGTACCATAAAAATATGATGATGAAACGACTAATAAAACAGCTGTACTCGTATTGTCTGCACATCGGCTGAACAAAGGTTCATATTACTATTATTATCAAAACGCTTGCGCATGGAAACAATTCGCGATATTTAGTGGACTGGAAAATACAGTAATAACGGCTGCTGCAGACTTCTGTCCCCGAAACCTCACGTCACATACCATGGTATATTATGTTATATTATAATAGCTAGGTACTGTGGTCTAGGTAATAGCGAAACCGTTATTCGGACCGAGTCATCGTTTCAAACCGCCTCGTCGTACGGACAAAAAAAAACACATAAAACGGAAAACGTCGTCAACATATTGTACACTCGCAGCTAGGGTGTAATTCACTGCACTTACAAACGTCTTTCATATTATATGTATATTTTTGACGTAAAATGGTCGAAACTTTTCGATACACTGCACTGTAAGTTATTGGGCACCAATATTAATATTATGACGATCCGCAAACAAATTTTATTCGGACGGCAGAAAAAAAAGTAAAAACTGATAATATTTTACATTCTAGTACTATGCCATAATATCATGATTTAAGGTTCTACAGTGTTGTAAAAACTTTATCATTTGTATTCATTGGTAAAAACCGACGTCAGCAACTTTGATAGGGAGTGAAAAATTTCCAGATTCCCTTTGGAAATATTGATTGGTGACCCCTGCCGCTCAGGTACAATATGATATTAATATTTAATAATATAGCTTTAATTTTACTGACGCGCTCATTGTCGATGAGTGATTATTCACCGGACTAATATGGACAAATATGGTCGCCAACCATATATGAGTGTACAATACCTTCGTGGGGCTCAAATTTATATGTAAATACTTATTTTGTTTTTGTGACTTTGATAATGGAAAATCTCTACGTCGCCTAATTTAAAGATTTCATCATAAAAAAGGTGGGTAAGTGGATGTCGCTCTGCTGTACTGTAGGTTACAAGTGGGTCACTGTATAATGGATGGTATTAAATTTGAATTCAATGATACAATATCATTGTATAAGAAAAACGATTCTGAGCGAAGACGGTATGTCAGTCTAGGTTTAAGACAAATTATATACATATCTATGGTATTAAAAAAAAAATTGACCTATAATAAATTCCAAATTAATCATATCACATTATCACAATATCCATTAGGTACTTATAACACGTTATACATCAACATCAATAACAAATCCTGATACTATCATTGATATATAATAGTAAACTTTAGAAGTTTCAAGTAGGTACCCATGAATAATATTATATAATCACAACAAAATAACTAGGTTTTTTAATGTGTAATTTCGTCCAAATTTGAACATAAAATGACTATAAAAATAAACTGTGATTGTATATTTTTTAGATTTTTTGGTAAAAGAATTAACTACTTACGTGGAATCTTGTTTTAAATTTTCAATCCTTAGCTATAAAAACTGATTATTTTATAATTTATTAATTACGATGATTAATAATTTTCGAGATTTTGAAAAATTCTGTTAAAATTCGATGTTTAAATGCTTATAAAAAAAAACTGTGCCTATGTATTTTTAATATTTTTCAACTGATATTGTAACAATATATCAGGAGCCTTGTATTACATTTTTACACTTTTCGGCCCAACAGATAAAACTTTATTGATATTCATAGAAAAAAAAACTAAAAAAATTTAAAAATGAAAATATCCGTAAACAGCTCAAAAAGAGTCAAAATATCTTCAAAATTGTATGGTGTATAGGAAATGCTTATACAAACATTCAGTGAAATTTTCATGTATCTATAGTTATTCGTTTATGAATAACAATAAAATAAGGAAATCGCTACATGAGAAATCGAGTGAACATCCAATGTTGTAAAAATTTGAATTTCAAACGCTCATAAAAATTTAATTTGACTGTCCGGTAGAGATTTTTTTATTGATAAAGGTAGACAAACTTATGAGTAATCTTGTATTACATTTTCAAATCTTAGATTTAAAAAGAAAAATTTTTACGAATACTTAACTCAAAATAATTTGCTAATTTTCGTGATTTGTCAATTTTTGAACTTTAAATGCTTATAAAAAAAACTGTGACTAACGATTTTTAATATTTTTCATCTGCCTTTGAAACAATATAGTAGGAACCTTGTATTAAATTTTCAAGTATTTCTACTCAACAAACAAAGTTTTATTGATATTTTTAGAAAAAAAACTAAAAAAAAATGGAAAATGAAAATGTCCCTAAACAGTTCATAATAAATCAAAATATTTTGAAAATGTTATCGTGTATAGAAAAGGCAAATATAAACAACCAGTCAAAATTTCATGTTCCTACTGTCATTTGTTTTAAAGTTACACCAAAAACCAAATTCGATTTTGTCAAAAACCTATTTTGCGTAAAAATTCCCGTTTTTCCTTCATTTTTATGTTGTTTTTCCCGGCGCTTGTGAAAACTATTGGGAATTTTAAATTTTGACCTCCTCAATGCACCAACGATATTCACTCTCCAATCGAACAAGGTACTGAAGTCGAAAATCGAAGCATTATTTCGACTACTTATCGTGTACACAGACACAAAAAAAAAAAAACACACATCATTGTAAAATCAATACATTCATCGTTTCACTCAGAATCTAAAATTGCATGTAGGTATCGTAAAAATTTGAGTAAAATAGTAAAAAATATCAAGGAGTTTTTTTCGTTATACGAAGCCGCATGTTCCATGACAACCATTAAAGTTTTCAATTTGTAAATTTAAAAACCCATTTCACAGAGGTAGGTATGTCAGAACTCGTTTAAAATTTAAAATAATTTTTATATTACAAATGTGAATGTAAAAGCAAATTATACTACTAAATAGTATGTATGGTTTCTTCTATATACAGTTTAATCAAATGGCAATTATACGTTCTTATTTGTAAACAACAGTCTATGATATACAGCCAATATAATAGCCCCATTTATTTATATTACTACTGAGATTATTAAATTACCATTTTTTAAATTTTGATTTATAAAAATATATTATGTGGATGTTTTGCAATAAATTCTCTCGCATGTTTTTAATATTTTGTATGCCTATAAGTATGAGAGTAATTATTTACAAATGGTTACATAGCCCATGTATTCTAAATGTTTTTTCTTCATAAATTATTGAATGTATTTCCAATTCGTCTGGTCTTTTGCGACGAGTGGCTCCTACCTATATAAGTATAATAATATTCGATATAATACTACGACTATAGTCATATTTCGCATCGACATGTATATAGTGCCACAGTGTATGGTATATTGTTGCAGCAAATACAAAAATATTATTGACTTTCGAGTTTCGACGTCCCTTAAAGTTTCCTCGCCGAGAATATGGTTTTAGTTTTGTGTATCTTTTCGGCAGATCTTATATATTATATATATATATTTTCTTTTGTGAACGACGGCACTTCGAAAACTTGAGTTTCATCGTTGCACTCGCATTTAATACCGACTATAGCAGTTATATTATATCGATGGAAAAATGTAAT